GGCAGCACAGGTCAGGTGCAGGCTTTGTGCTTAACTGGAGACCGATGACCGAAAGAGCTACCTCTGTGACTGTCTCGTGTTCTTGGAACATGTAAAATATCTCTCTTAGGGTACTCACTGGGCCTCGTTGTATCGCCTTTCAGTTTTTTCTTTGTAAGCAAAGTGTTATGTGTATTTATACATGTCTGTGCTTTATAAGAACTGTCAGAAATCTTAAGACACATGTGAGAAGTGTTGCTTGGACTAATGCTTTAATTAATAGTGTCTTACCTTTGGACAGTGTGTTAATGACTGTAACAATACGAGAGAAATGTAAAACACAAACAAGGGTTTTATTTACAGGGAAGGCTGTCAAGGCATAACATTATATCTGAGACTCCCAAACTGTAGCATTGCATGGCCAAGACCCTGTTCTCTCCCCATCTGTGGGCCCACGAGTCTGTTATTGCCTTGCTTTCCCTCCATGTCTGTACAGATCTGCTTTCCTTGGCTGTCTCCAGGACTCCAGACTCCTCTCCCTAGCTTCATGGCTCTCATTACTTGTCTGTAATTTTTCCGCTAGTTACTGTCTCATAGGACTCCCCTCCTAATAGCTTTCATATCTGATCTAGCCCAGCTGTGTAGAAGTCAACAACAGACAGGTTTCTGTTCCCTTTCCAGCATATGTTTTCCATCAGGAATGTATAATTTCCAAGGAGACTATTCAAGTCTTGCATTCGCACTGGTGAAGTATACCAGAACATCTTAATATGTTAAACTTTGAACAAGGGTAATCTCTTCCTTTACAGGTTTGTGTATTGTGTTAGCATAGTGTGGTCCTGATCTGTTAGCTGATCCACAGGAAAAGGGAATAAATCACAGGAATAGGGAATAAATGAGAGAAGAAGAGACTGTTTCGTGTTTATCTTCAGTCGCAAAACTGCACGTGTCCTTAGCTGAACATACTTTCGTCTAATGACTTGGAAATGATGAAATACTTTGGCATTTGTAGGTTTACTTGATTCAGAGAGATGAAGAGTAGGAAAACTAGAAGAATCATAGAACGTTAGGGATTGGAAGGGACCTCAAAAGATCATCTAGTCCAGTCCCCAAGAATGTTGAAGTCATAAGTGCCAGTGAAGTTGTTAGACGTCAACATTCTTCTATTTTCTTGTAAAATTTGAAATCTGTATTTTTTGAATTTTAGTATACAGTATATTAAAGTTTAAAGAAATTGAGCTTTACAGTAGGAAGCAAGTTTTAACTTAGTTGTGGAATGGTAATAACCATCTCTGACATATTTTCTGAAAAGTCCATGTGGCATCAGACCCATTAGTGGCTAGGGTCTGGGCTCACTGCATCCTGCAGTGCTCTTAACTCCATTTATGGGATTACATACCCTTCCTGTTCAACAAAGTCCCAACTGCATATTTCAGTGTGATTAAATGTTTAGTTGAAATGTCTGTCTTGTGGCATATAGAATATACTGTAATAAGACAAGCAAACTGAAATGGTCCTTTCTATTAGAAGGGGGGAAAACAACTAAAACTCCAAAATCTGAAACAAAAATCTGAAAATTTGAAATATATTTCAGATTTATTTGGTTTTCCCCTTTTGTGGTCTATGGTGCGCAAGGAGACTGAACACTTCTAATACTTGTGCACTGATAAACCATGTGTGATCCACCAATTAACTTGAAAAAATTGCCTCTTTACCTTGTAAACGTGCCTTGTTCTCTCAAGAGCAGAGCTGTAAAATGAGAGTTCGTATTAAAGTGGTAACTGTTTTAAAGCAATGCAAGCATGGTGCTTTATAAGATTTGTTGCTTTTCTGTCCTTCTAGATGGAAGAAGATAAGGGTTCAGTCAGCACAGCATGTGACTTTGCTGAAAGCAGGCACAGAAGGGAGGACAATAGGCAACTGCTAGATCCATCTAGCCCACTCGACAGTTCTTACGTTCACTAGGTAGTACCCCCGCTCTACCCTAATGTGTGTGTGTATATATATTGATTTATATATATCATATCTAGTCAGTCATGGAGCCATCTCCAAAATACCCATCTTTTTGAAGTCAACAAGAAAGTTTGCATCATAGTACATGGGTTTGGTTTTTCCTTTTTCAAGCTGAATCATTCTTTTAATTCTGCACTTCAGTTGCTTTTTGATTTATTACATGAAATGGGCCATTATCGTGTAAAGCATTGTTTATCGTGATACTGGATCTTATGAAAATACTTTGTTTACAGCCCAAATATGAATGATTTCTCTCTATACTTACTATTTTTTTAAATCATTCTTTCCTGCTTTTTGTTTCCTGAGGGTTTGTTTCAGGTCTCTAGAGACCATTATGCCTTACTGTGCCAGGTTTTGCTTTGATATAAAACTGTATTCATAATTGTCTGTCACAGAGAGAAGAGGAACTCTTTGGCATAATATACGTTCTTCCTTCCAGGTAGTGGATATAAATATAAAAAATCACGTTCACCAGGCAATTATATACTGTATATCTTCACTCAAAATTGAATTTATTTTCATGTTGTCCTCAATGGTTTCCTAATACTACTTTGCACTTAACTACGGGTTTGATAAAACATAAATTTTGTTTCCAGGCTTATGTAAGATCACATTTGCTGTTTTTTTAAAAAAGGATCATAATAACTTTTCCATAAATCATGGTTCAAGCATGATCCTAGCTTTTTGTGGGTATCTGACTTGAGAAAAACAAATGAGGTTAGAGTGAAGAGGTGACACCAAAATCCAGAGCTGAGGGTTCACTCCGTGGAAGCTGGTTTGGGTTACCCTTGATTCCTCTTTCTGCCAGTCTTTGAATAAAATCTATGGCTGTGAACTCTCAGGTCAGCAGATTCTATAGGGGGGAAAAAAGAAATAGTCTGGTCCATCTGATCCTACAGCAACCACTGTAATACAACCTTTTGCAGTAACTTCAAAGGTATTACTTGGTCTGCATCAAGGTAGTGGGTGGACTAAATATTCTTTTTGAAGTCCTGAGTGTAAGAATGCTGAGAGTTTGTTGCTGTGAACACAGCCATGAAAATCACCGGGTGTGCAGCAGGGAGCTTACTCTCTGGCCTCCTAATCGGAATTCGTTCTGCTCTGCGTAATTTCTTGTCTGAGATGATGCGAGCACAGTGGAGGTCAAATTTGCTAGTACTGCAGTGCTGCAAATTGTGCTGTTCCTAGTTATGGTATCTTCTGTGACAGTAGAGTTGTGACCAGATGTGATGGTCATCAAATAAGGGCATTCAGGCACTGAAGCTCTCAGCTGTGTTATGTTTTAACAAAAACCCCTTTTAGACCTGTCAGTTGCAATGCTTCTGCTCCTGTCTCTCAGGTATTTACAGAAGCTCATTGTCATAGTGAAATGTTGCAGAAGACCTCCCAAATGAGTGTGAGTTGGTCACAAGTGTGTATTCTGCCTGCACTCATTTGTGGCCTCCAAGGTGCAGCAATGGACTCAAGGGTTTCTGTTCGTAATGTTTTCCGTAAGTTCATGGAGCGGTTAACTGACAGTCCTATAAGCATGACCTTAAGTGGTGTGATGGGAAGATCCAGAGGGACTATGGGGAATCTGGAACCGAGCTGAGGAAGGGGCATGCATGGAAACACCAGTTTTGCCTGTGTGCTCCCTCCTTGTCCTACCTGTTTGTAGGATTTCCAAATGCTGCTTGTTTCTGTGAGCTGCCTCTTCTTTGCAGTCTAGTTCTGTTCTGAAGCTGTAATCTGTTCAGATGCCTGTTTTGAGGAATTAGGAAGGAATGTGTCCACTCATAGTAAACCATTTGCATAGGAAAGTCAGGTTCTTTGCTTTCCTTGCAGTGTTGGGCAAGTGTGGTGGCATCAAAGAAATTGGGGTTGGAAACCAAAGTCTTTGGACAGCAGTCAGTGACCTTTGATCACACGGTGAAACGTTGGGGGAAGCTCTTCAATGAGCTGTGTCCTGTCATACACTAAGATGCCTCCTCCTGGGTTTCTTCATTCACTGGGGTCTGAGTGAGGTGAGGTTGATAATGGGTGCCTAAAGCCTGCGTGTTCAGCATTCGTTTGGCAGGATGCTCTCATGGAGAGTTTCAGATTAAATTAAAAAGCATCCCCACATTCTGCGTGTTTATTTCCTTTTGGAAAGGATACTGAAGTTAGTTTTGGATATTCTCTCTCCAGCAGTGCTGGATTTCAGTTTGATTTTAGTTGACCGGTGTGCAAAAATAATATGAAGGAGCATACTGATAGATGCCACTAAACTTAAACCCATACGTCTCTGTATTACTGGATTCATTTTGTTTGGGTCTTTTTCTCACCTACAAAGAATGAACAGTAGCAAGTTTATTGTGCTAATATTGAAGTACTCTTCAAGCTGGCATGAACACAACTGAACCTTTCTAACATCAGCCTTATTTGCATTTAGAGAGAAGATATTCACAGAATCAGGAATGTGCTTTTGTTCCTTACCAACCCAAGGGTATCCGTCGTAGTGATACAATGTAAATTATTATAGGAAGTTGCATTCTACACTTCCTGAGGAAGAATTATTACTTTCGATCGGGTTGCTGCATTGTCTTCTGCAGCCTTGGTCTAAAGCTTGCTCTTGATAGACTTCCCATCAAGTAGGGCAGAGCTGCCGCTTGTATCAATCCTTGTTCCTCTGCTGGAGTTCATCTGGGCATCACAGCTTAAGCTGCATGACACTCTGCTCCAGAGATTCATTACCGCTGTAATGCAGAGAATCGCTAACTGCTTTATTTCCAACATTAAGCAGAGATGGTGCTAAACGATTTCCATATGCTCTCCAAGGCTGTGTGCAAACCTTGGGAAGATCCAATTATAGCATATATAGACCTTAGGAAAGGAAATGGTGATGTTATTAATCATTGTACTTCTCCTATAAAATTGAGCAATATCCAACACTCTAAGAAAACCTGCTTTTCCTGAGTGTTTTCTGAGAAATCTGTGCTAGATTCTGTGCATACTGATTTTGGTTTCTTTTTTTCATGTCTTCCTTCCAGCTTACTGAGGCAGGTTCAGGTATCAACTGCTTGGACTCCATGTGCTGCTTCTCAGATGGGGAAACAGCATGCGCATCTGCTCGAAGAATGCTGGAACGACTGATGGGAAGGTGCAGTCCAGCCCGGGTCAGCAGGTGTGGCATTTCTCTCAGTAGCCTTTGCTGCAGACGATTCTCCTATAAACTGGAACCCAATGAGCCTGCAGCGATAGCTGTCTAGCAAACCCGCTGCAGGTTTTGCTTATCTTAAGTAGGAAATACAACTCTTTATTGTACTTTTTTCATCCTAAAAGATTAGTTTCTTGTTTCTTTCTGAGTGCTTTCTTTTGGGATGGGGAGGGGGAAAAACAGTTTTCAAAATATTTCTGTTAAAACGTTCAGTTTGGCTTACTACAAGTTCCTGTGTTGTATCTCTCGTAATTTCTCTTGATTTGTACATTCTTCTCTTTAGAGAATCAAGCCTTGCTGCTGTTTTTGTTCCTTTTTGTGATGATTTTTTTTACCTTCACGAATCAGGAGTTGTTTGTAAGGTTGACAGACTTTTCCCTTTGGTTCTTGATGTACAACCTCCAAATATTTACCTTGGAGCTTGTGTTACTCCTGAATATATACAAAAGGCTCACGCTCCCCCCCGCTTAAATACGACTTCACTGTTAGAAGGAGAGTCATTAAATCTTTCAGCCATTGATTGATATGAAGATGAAATATTTTTGTAGTATAACTTTTATAGTCTATTTCTAAAATCAGAGTAATTGAGAGAACAGAGCCATCAGGTTCTGAGAATTTTAAACGTCTTTTTGGTTCTAGAAGGTATATTGTCAAAGTCATGTGTGCCATTCCAAGGTATGTGCTAAAGAAACCTTCTTCCTTCCCAACCCTCAATGGGGTAAAAGCATGTTAGAGTCATCGAATATGTCGAAGGAGCTGTACTGCTCTTGCAGTCAGCGTAACTGAGAAAAGCTATTCCTAAACCTGCTAATGTGCCATTCCCCATGTCCAAATAAAGAGGGACAGCTAACAAACATGGAAATATTTGGGGGTAGAAATAAAAATAATCTTCTGTACATCGTAATATCTCGGTCCTGAATGATATCATGGTCCTTCATTGGTCAAAAGGCAAACCTGAAAAAAGTTGCTCTTCACACATTTTCAAGGAAACTCAGTTTGTATTTGAACAACTCTGTCTCTTTTGGTTAAAGGCTGTGATATCATTCATGCCGTATAAAACCTTGTGTGGGCAATTTTCCCTGACGAGCTTTGTCAGTTCTGGTTCTGCCTTTAGGTATTGACTTGTCTGTAGTTCATCTCTGGTTTGAACTCTTGTGTTGAACACGGTGTCTGTAGTTACAGTCCGTTTCTCTCTTCTGGCTTGCTTATGAAATCTATTCAACGTTTCTTCACATCTAGGGTGTGCAAAATGTTTCATTCCATATGAAAAATGAACTGTTATGATTAAGTACATTTTTAATTCAAACTCTTGCTGTATAGAAAGCGGACATGATGTATAAAATAAATAATTTAATAGAATTTTTAATCTACAAGGTGAGCATTTAATTGGTCTAAAAAGCAACTTTTTGGTAGAGCTGCTCTGAGTTTTCTGGTTTGGGTTCTTTTTTTTTTCCACTTCTCTGTAAAACTGTGTTTTCCAAATAAGGACCTTTTCATGCTCCTTTTTTCATTTGTTGTTATCTAATTAGGGCAGATTTTTGATTAACATTTGCCTTAGTAACATGTAGTCTTACAAGGTAGGTATTCTGTGTTTTATTTTCTGCAATGCATTTACGTTTTTGCAATTTCCTCTTCTTTCCACTTGATTTTTCTTTCTTTAAGAATATAAAAATATTTACTGAAGATAACTCATATTTGACAGAATATTAAACAGTTTTTGAAGACTGCTTTTCCTCAGGTTTCTTGTCTGCTTACCTCATGTAATTTTCAGATGAAATCCCATCTAGCTGAATAATCGTAGAGTTTGGTATTCTGTGTAATGAATATGCAAAACTATCTTGGTGCTACACTAAGGGCTTGAAGTTCTGTAGTTTTTGCTTCTGCCTCTGGTTGAAAAGACTGCACCACCTTCTGGTTTCACTTAAATTTATGTACAGTACAACTGGAAAAGATTTTAATTTCTGTTTAAATTTCGGTCTTGCTTTCTTCAATGACTTCAGTTCCTTCCACTGAGCATTGAAATTGAAACCTAGTCCAAAAGGCAAGGTACTAAGAGTCATTTCTCCTGTACGATTTCCTGCTAACTTGTGAAAGTCTGTCTGTATTTTTTAATGAGCTGCTTTGATTTTTACCTAAAGCTGGTGTCTTCAGAAGCTTGCACAGTCCCAAAGAGGATGGGTTTTGGGGTACTTGTGCTTTATAAAGTAGCTTCTTACTCAACCAGGAGGTAGCTGCAAATTCTTTTTGTTGAATGAAGTGATCCTGATAAATGCAATGACTGGGAGAGTGCTGTAGAGTGAAGAGCACTGTTTGAAATAATGTTTCTGTAGCTTGTGTTGCATTCTGTGCTCCTGATATTCTGTCAAATAGGATATTCTGTCAAATATGAAAACGCAAGATCAAACATAGTATCAAATTTTGATAGAAACTTTGATGAATTAAAGTTGTACAAATGCTTGGAGTAGCGTGCCACAGGAATATAGTCTCTTGTACTTAATTTACTGCTTGTAAAATGTATTCAAGAAGTGTTTTCTATAGCTTCATTCACCAGTTAGAATATAAAATGTGTGGTGTGGTATGGTAAAGTGCATTTTTGTCTGTCTGTTCCATTAAATTGTCTGTCAACTTGTCAGTCACTGATATTCGAAACCTGTTGGATCACGTCCATGTGTTGTACAGTAGAACTCATTACTGAACTGTTCAGAACTCCCATTAGTGGTATTTGTGTCAAGGCACCGCATGTAAAAGTTCTAATGAAACAGCAGATTTCTGACAGAGGCAAATTTGGAGGATAAGTTTGTTATATTTTGGTTTCCTGCCTTCCAACGATCTATTTTTCACCTTTTCACATACAGTCCTATAATGTTGTTAACCAGGAATGGTATTTCCTTCTAAGTAGTAATTTGTCCTAAAGAGACATTGCGAGACCTCACCCTAATCAAAAGACATGTTAGGTAGTTTTCCTGATGCCTTACATTTTTACCTTAAATTTGACAGTATGAGATGAAGTAGATTGATGGCTGTAGGTAAGTTTTGCCTGCCCACACCTTCAGACAGCGTGGAAGTTTAATGTGAGAAGAGCAGTACCCAGGGTTACCACGGGCAGCTCTGTGTACTGCAGGGCTCTGCTAAAATGACCTTAGGCGACAGCAGATCACAGCACTCTCAGTGCCTCCACTTACACTTGCAACATTCACAGTATTAAAACTGCAGTTGTAATACTGGCATATAAACCTCTGGTCACTTTAGTTCAGTGTGATGAAAAAAGCCATAGCTGTGAGTAAACTTTGCCAGAAACATAAACCTAGACTTGTTAATTACATAGTTAGCATGATAAATTGCAGGTGCATACTTGGAATCAGTAGATTAGTCTTTTAAAGGGTTACATCTGCCTAATCTCCTAACTTTTTATCCTTTGCTTTCATAGACTTTTCTCCTCACCTCTAGCTTATAAGTTCCCAGTCAGCCAAACTTTTTTTTTATTGTTACTTTAGATCATGGAGTTCATCGGATCCCTTCTATGCCACCGACAGAAGCATCTTGACTCTCTCCACAATGGACTCGCCCACTTGTTAACAGGGACAGTTGTAAATGCCTTGTGGAAGCCATGAGGTGCTACACCTGTAGTAGGTTCTGAAGCGAGTTCAGTTCCATCCCTGCCCTAGAAACGACCAGCATGACTTCTAAATGCAAACAGTGGCTTGTCTGGTGGCCTAGCATAAGTCATCTGGACAGAAATCGCTTCTAGGATTTTTTTCTAATTATAGCCACAAATTGATAAAGATGTATTTTATTATTTTTAAGGACCACTTTTACCTCTGACTGTTTAATCTTTTTTGTTACCGTACGAGCAGATTGGAGTCCTGCATTTGACACTTGAGCTGTCACTGTAGTGACAGCTTTCTCCTCCCAAATTTGAGTGATCCAATAGAACTGAAATTGCACAATGAAACCTGAAAAAGTTGCGGTTTCTGTGCTTGACCCTTCACTGCAAACACACACATTAATTTTGAGCTGTCTCTTACAGACGCTGTCTTAGCAGTTTGCAAATCAGTTTTGTTATTTCCGTGGACAGTTACTGTATTCTACAAGCAATCAGTTTAGTAATTTTTGAGAGTTAAATAGAACTCAAGTATTTATGCTGGTATACGAATAGAAATATCTTAGCCATTGCATTGGAAAACACTGTTAACTTTGTCGAGTAAGTGATTTGGAATAATAAGGGATATAAGAGTTCACTGTTCTTAAAGTAAAATCCAGAAGCCAGTCGTCTTCTCTTCTGCTCTGTTTTGTTAACAGTTCTTGATCCTGACATGGAAAAATATGTAAGGATTGGTGGTTTATGCAGAATTCTCACTAGCATAAATTTTATTGAATTATTAATCCTTTTAAAGTTGGGGAATTTTTGCATGTTTTAATTCTTTTTAATGTATTTATATTTGGTCATGTTGTACTTTGAAGATACAATTAATGCTTAATTATCTTCATATATCTGAAGGATCTGAGACATTGATGGCAATGTTTTGATACCTAAGTATGCCAATAAAAACGAATTGCACAGATGGAGCTTTGAATGGTGCATCTTGCAGGTACAGCTGGTGTCCCAGTATGAACGTGGCTGCATGGTTGGGGCTGGGTAGCAACGTTTGCCTGTGCCAACTTACTGGTTGGCTTTAGGGTGGGAGACAAAACCACCAGGGACCATCTGTAGGGCACTGCCTTAGGTACAGCAGTTTTTATGGCCAGAGGCTGCTAAAAATGCTGCTGCTTCAGTCTCTGTCACTGAAGTCCTATCAATAATCCAAAGAATCTTCCTGTCAGACAGTAAAATATATAAAGCTGCATGTTATACCTGGTGGAATAAACGGTAAATCACACACAGACTGTAAATGGCATTGACAAGAACCTCTTTAATAGAGGTGTGGTTAAGTGCAGGATTTGGACAGAACCAGCATTTGCTGCTTTCCCACTGTTGTCCTAAGCGCCGTCTCCCAAGCAAATGCTCGCTATTTCCTAATTCGGCCAGCCACATCTTACCATCCTGGTGTGACGTCTGGGGGGCTGGGCTGCTGCCAGAGGAGCGGATCCCTCCTGTTACGGTCATCCCAAAGTCTTCCGATTCAATGAGCTGCAGGAGAGGCAGTGTTGAAGAGGTCCGACTCGTATCTGATGCCTTGGGTTGCCTCAGCTATGAACAGCTCTGCTGATCCCTGTTCTTGTTCATGACTTCACCCGCTGTTACTGCAGTTATCCTCTTGGAAGCTTGTTTTTGCATTATTAACTGCAAGCTTCACTCTGAACTGAAGGCTGCAGCTACTGCGGGGTGTTCAGGAGCTCCTTGTTCAAGGCAGCGCTTGTGTAGGAAAGAAACAGTCTTGGCAGCCTTGTTTTGAAACTCATAATGACTTGAACATGCAGCACCTGAGGGTTTTGTCATAGATAAAGACCAGTTCACGAATTAAGAAGCTCTAAAAATGAATTATGAAAGAGAAGAAACAAAACTGAGCAGATTTTCCTCTTAAGTGTTCAATTTGGTGTTCACGGTTCGTATCTGTATCATCCCTTCGACTGCGTAAGTGCAGTGAAGCATAAGCTTGAAAATTTCAGTTGTATACCAGAGCCCCACACCAAGAGTCCAGATTATTAAGAATCACTGAAAATTTAACCTTGCTTACTCCATGTAATAGGTATTAACATGAGACTCGCCTGACTGCATACAGCGTGAAAACTGGTCCCTGTGTGGAGATGCTGTAAACTGATTGTCATCTGCCCAGGCCCCTAGGAAACTTGTGTCCAGATACGTCGTAGTAATAAAACATACTTGGATTGCACTTGCTCCTATAACTTTCATTTTATATCATATATATAAAAATATATAAAATATCCAATCTGTTTTTAAAATAATTACTTTCTTCTTAGTAGTTTCTCACTTTAGGAGTTTTCATCCTGCCATGGATACCTAGGAAATAAAGAATTTTTGAACAGTTCCAATCAGATTTCTGCTGTTTGGCTGGATCGTTTATGTCTGAATCAGTGTTTCACCTTCCACAAGTCCGTGTCTGTCCGTGTCAGCCAGAGCATCCTCATCACCCTGTCGGTGCGTGTGCCTGTGCACCCCCATCAGTCTGTGGAATGCAAACTGGTTCATTTTGTGTGGCAGAGGCTTTGAGACACCGCCCCGCTCCAAGCATTTAGCTGGGCTCAGCTCTGTACATAAATGTATTTTGGCTTTTACCACACAATTATATTTGCACAAAAGTGAATCCTATATTTGAAGAATAATTTACATTCATTATGTGTTTTTTTAAACCCTTCCATCTCCTCTTCTCCCTTTCCCCCACTTTCCCTTTTCCCAGTGTTTGTAAGGTTACCGAAGAAACTTGCATTTAAACAATTCAGGAAGAGCTTAAGAACCCATCTGTCTGCCAAGGTATATTTTTCTATTTGCAGTACATCTCAATCAGTAATTTCTCAGTTAGTAAGAACATAGAATTGCTTTGCGTAAGACCAGGTTTTTTGGTCTGACAAATATTTTGGATGGAAGAAGTGACTGTGTTTTTGTACTGATGCCACCAATCTTTTCGAATTCAAGGGAGATGGGGTTTGTGTATTTCTCTGACAGCTAAAATGCATGAAACCAGTGACTGTGCCTTGGTCCAGTGCAGCATTCTGCATGAAGCAGACTGAACAAATGCAGCTAGTTCAGTGTAACGCTGGCATTCACCTCTCTGAGTTCCAGTGTGAGTGGGCGAGGAATTGGCCACAGAGAAGAAATGTTTTTGAGTTACCTCTTAGCCTTGAATCCGTGACAGAAAAGCCGATAGTGGATGCTTGTACTTAGAAGGACGTGTGGTGTATAGGCACTTCACTGTGCAGTGTCCCTGAAGAAGCGCCTTCTCCATAGCCACCCGCAGCACAGGACTGAGGTCTCAGCAGGATTTTAGCTCTTGTGCTGTAAAATATCAGGATTTGGTTTTGGTACTTAGAAGAACATGGTTTTAGTTGCCAAACTTAAGCTTTTTTTTTAAAGGGTGCAGTGGAAAAGATTAAGTGGGAAGATGCTCTCAGTTGTTTTACCAATTAAAATGTAAATATTCTGCTTAAAATAGGCTGCATATTTTTTAAGGGGGGGGGAAAGGGAGACACACCACACCAAAAAAAACAATAATGCAGCAGGAGGAATGGTGAAAACTTTGGCTTTACATTTTTCAGAATGGTTCCTTGTGTTCCAGTGCAAAAGATGATTTGAGAAATGCATTCTAGGTTGCATAATCTTATTAGGCAACCGTAATTTCTTACGGGAAACCTTTGGTAATACTTTCAAATATATATATATTTTTAAAATGACAATATAACATCTATATTGAAAAAAAAATCATTTTCTAGTGTTAGAAATGTCTCAAAGCAGTAATTTGTTTTATTTGTAATAGTTTAGTCTGCTAATTCTGTACCTCTGAGTAGTGATTTTGGTGAAACACAGCGTTCAGAAAGGCTCGGTCACAGTGTGCTTCTGCCCCATTTATTCTGAGATGTTCTTTTTCTTGGTGTGCAAGACCCAATCTCACACTGTCACCACTGCCTCGTCACGCAGCCAGCGTTGGTTTAAAGAAGTTATTGCTAGAGCTGGGTGAACCCCTCATTAGTGACTGAATTTAGCCTTTGCTTTCTATTCCTCAATGATTTCCCAGTTAGACTTGCTGCTTTGCACTCTGGGGTGGTTTGTGTGAGTGTTTTGATTGCTGGTAGCTCTGTATGTCCTTTGCTTCTGTTGTTTGCTTCCAGTGGCGGGAGTTGTCTGGGGTCTGCTCTGTTGGCACGACTCGGTTATAGACAGGAGGGAAGCTGGGATGCTCACGGCTGCAGCAGCTCTTGCTGTCCATCGCTGCAGAAGCGCACTCACATCGTATTTGCAAGGCTTCTGCTTTCCGTAGATTTTTTTTTTTTTTTTATTCTTTTTTCCTTCAACTAAACCCTGCTCGTAGCAGCATCCGAAATAACGCAGTAGTGAGCCCATGTGCGCTGCCTGAGCCACCCTGGCGCTCGCTCCAGGAACGTTCCCAGCACGGTGAAGTCGCCGCCGCAGTCGAGCTGCTGTGTCCCGATCAGTCCCTGCAGTTGTCAGCACTGCAGATGCCACCTGGTGTTGCTGTTTCCAGTTTGTGTAAATGCATAGACAGGAAGAAAACCTGAGGGGCCATGGGCCAAAGACCACATAACACCAAGGGGCAAGAACTGAAATGCTCTGCTGTTTGTTCATGATGCAAAGTGGGACTTGGCTGAAAGAAACCCTGGCTTGCAGTGCATATTGATTTTTTTTTTTTTTCCGCAGCAGTTTTAAAGGAAATTATTTCATCCATCAGCAAGTTCTCACCCTTTTTACATTTTGGCAATGGGATAAAAGATAATCCACACAGCTTAGAAAGGGGAAAGTGTTGGAGCCTCGCTTTCAGGTATAACGAAGATGTCATTACTGCAACAGAGAATGTATTTGTACAATTCCTAGTTGTGGTCCCATGAGAGAGTTCAGGTTCTGCACACAAAAATAGCAAATCGTCGAGCTGCCTGTTTTGTCACTGCCATGTCAGCAAGCACTGCTTTTTCTTTTTTTTTTTTTGGAAGGAAAAAAAAAAAACCACAAACCTTGACTGAGATCATCTGTAAAAATTACCTTTAAAGATGTCAGTCCTTAGTTTTAGGCAAAGAGGGGACATTGACGACTGGAAACTGTAGCAATAATCCGTACAAAGAATTCTGGACCTCTGACACTGTGGCTGCCTGATGTCATTTTTGATTCTGACAGCGAGTCTGTGCTTGCTCCTTGTACAGCTTGGTCAGTAG